TGCCCGGCTGGTCAAGTTCTGGCTTTAGATGCCTATCCAATGCCTTCTTGGAGAGAGCCAGGTGTCTATTGGTAAACATAGATTTAGCGGAGAAATTAAGCACCTTGACTGACTTAAATGATTTCAACACAGTTTTGATATACTTCCTTGTTTACAAAAGTTTCACTTGATGATTTATTAAATTTCTTATCTGAGGAACTTGTTAATTATGATTTACCATTGACATTTCCTACTATCATTAAATTTATTAAACTTTGTATTTTTGATGCAAAATTTGTATGTAATGACGAGCTTTACACTCAGAAGTTTGGCATGGCAATGGGAAATTCTCTTTCATCTGTTCTCAGTAATTTATACATGGAATTTTTTGAAACAAAATTGCTTAACACAATCCTTCCTAATAGAGTTAAATGGTTTAGATATGTTGATGATATTTTGTGTCTTATGCCGAAGAATGTAAATATAAACCATTTCCTTGTTAAATTCAATAGCTTAACTCATTCTATAAATTTTATTGTTGAGTTCGAAGAAAATAACTCATTGCCTTTCCTAGATGTTTTAATTATTAAGGGTAACGATGGTTTTAAACTTAAAATTTACAGAAAACCAACAAATAACTGTTCCTATGTACACTATTATTCTTCACATCAAGAAAGAGTTAAACTGTCGGTATTCCCATCAATGTGTTTTTCCCGGACTCCCGGGAAGCTGGGCCACCAAAGAGTATGTGTTGGTCGCCCTTACCAACCCCAACACTAGGTCGGTTTCAGGGTTGTCATTTGTATAATAATTATCGTTTTTAATGATAATTTTAATTTTGTCGCGATATAAGATACCTTACTTAAGATATTGTCGTACGCTTTTGTTTGGTACGGTATACAGTATCTTTAGGTAATATCGTATGGTTGGTGTGTTAATAATAATAATAATAATAATAATAATAATAATAATAATAATAATAATAATAATAATAATAATAATAATAATAATAATAATAATAATTTTTATTTGGACATGATACATAGTTGTACATGGAATTACAGTAATTGGGTGTGCATGCCAAAAGCCCCTTGTATGCAGAGCATTATGGGCAGGCTTAAAATTAACTTAAGATTAAGTACACAGTGGAGTAAAACGTTGTTTTTCATCCTTAACTTTATATTTCAGAATTATTCGTGCAAGCAATCGCAAATATATTATTCTTCAAGCTCGTCTAGAGTATAATAATAATCTTTATTTCTACAAGTCCATGTACAATGTATCAGGCTTAGCTGTCATCAGTGACACTATATAGAGAGCTCCTTGTTATACCTGGAGAGCGTTTCCGGGGGTCAACGCCCCCGCGGTCCGGTCTCTGACCAGGTCTCATGGTGGATCAGGGCCTGATCAACCAGGCTGTTACTGTTGACCGCACGCAACCCTACGTATGAACCACAGCCTGGCTGGTCAAGTACCGACTTTAGGTGCCTGTCCAGCGCCTTCTTGAAGACAGCCAGGGGTCTATTGGTAATGCCCCCTTATGTATGCTTGGAGGCAGCTGAACAGTCTTGGGCCCCTGACACTTATTGTGTTGTCTCTTATCGTACCAGTGGCACCCCTGCTTTTCATTGGGGGGATGTTGCATCGTCTGCCGAATCTTTTGCTTTTATTGGGAGTGATTTTTGTGTTCAAGTTTCATACTGATCCCTCTAGAATTTTCCAAGTGTATATAATCATGTATCTCTCCCGCCTGCGCTGTAGGGAGCACAGGTTAAGGAACTTCAAGTGTTCCCAGTAATTGAGGTGTTTTATCGCAGTTATGTGTGCCGTGAAGGTTCTCTCTACATTTTCTAGGTCAGCAATTTCACCTGCCTTGAAAGGTGCTGTTAGTGTGCAGCAATATTTCAACCTATATAGGACAAGAGACCTGAAGAGTGCCATCATGGGCCTGGCATCCCTAGTTTTGAAGTTTCTCATTTTCCATCCTGTCATTTTTCTGTCAGCATAGGACCGAGCTGTCAGCAAAGTTGGTGATCCCCTGTATATGTTATCTGAGTATCATAGTACCAGCCATATGTTTTACATAGATGACCCCTTTGCTAGGCTCAGCGGCTACCATGTATGACGTCATGTGATGCTGCATGTGAGCGTTGGGCGCTCTGCCTCTTCCTCACCTCACATGCAGACCTTCAGGCAGCAGGATAGGCAAGGCTAGGCTCCCCTCTCGTACTCTGTGTGAGAGTGTTACCACCCACCAACTTGTGTTCATCTCCAACCATCATATCTCCACGAACCCTCTCAACATTTCTAGCAGATGTGAGTGATATAATATTGTGGTCTCTGAAGGTGAGATCCTCTGACATTATCACTCCCAGATCTTTTACATTAGTTTTCGCTCTGTTGTGTAGTTAAAATTTGTTTTATACTCCGATACAATTTTAATTTCCTGACGTTTTCCATGTCACAGTAACTGAAATTTCACATCATTGAACTTCATATTGTTTTCTGCGACACATGTGGAAAATACTGTATATATTTTCCGGAAATACGGTAATTTATAGGTAAATAGATGCCCTATATTGTATTTTTAAAAGAAGTATGTTATCGAAAATGGGAAACCTGCGGCTGGGGAGGTTAGTCGCCATTTTGTTTTGAATTGAATAACACGTGTTGAATAATGGGAAGAATTTTTCGTGCTCTAGAGGTTAAAATTGTGTTGACACCTCTCAAATAGGAGGCGAAATTGTTGGATGTGCATTCCTACATAACTTGAGATATCAGGCGACAGGACAGGACAACTCCAGGAACCTCAGATAAGCTGTCTAATTTATGTTTAATTCTGGCCAGTAAATTTTTCATAAATGTAGGCAAAAGGGGGGGTCCTGTACATGACACATTAATCTCCAGTCAAATTGGTGAGTGATTTTAAGATATTCTCCTATTATATAAATGTGTATTTATATATAATCATTTTTTAATTTTACATACAGTCCACAAATTTATGTATTTACCAGCATTCCTGGTGATGTATATTTCATTTATGATTAATAGGTCCAGAGCAACTTGTGGATATGACAGTGGTAGGTATCGAAGGGGGACATTTTTTGCGACCTAGGTGTCCCAGATTCCTACTTGTCTAACTGATAAATAATAATTATCTTTATTCATTTACTGTTATGTATATAATGATGCATTCAGATAAATGTAATTTTCCACAACACATTTAAAGATTTGATTGATGGCTTTTCGGTGTCTTCAGTGGAGGACACTCGTGCAAAGATGACACCCGAATCTGACATACAGGGATGTGGCCTACATCCCCGTCTATGTCAGATTTAAGGATGAGGAACATGATGGGAGCGAGTACTGTGCCTTGTGGGACAGCTTTTCATCGTAGCTGCCTCAGACTTTACTCTGTTTACTACTACTCTTTGTGTTTTATTTGTTAGGAAATTATAATCCATGTACCAACTTTCCTGTTATTCCTTTATCATGCATTTTGTGCGCTATTACTTTAGTTTAATATCTTTATTATGCACCCCATACCCATCCTGTGGGCGGTAGTCAAAAGATTACAAAGGTACATAATGGGTCCAGGGACTGGACCCTCAAGTTATGATAGCTGAACTAGTTACAAAGGTAATGAACTCCAGGTAGATCTGGTCACAATCATGGCAAGTTACAAAGGTAATGAATCAGCCTCACTCCTATACATGGTTACAGTCATGAACAAATTACAAACTAATGAACCACTGATACGTCCACACTTGGTCACAATTGTAATGGCTATTACACCATGGCCACACTTGTCAAAGGCTTTTGCAAAGTCTGTGTATACTACATCTGCATTTTATTTGTCTTCTAGAGCCACCAGGACCTTGTCATTGTGGTCCAGTAGTTGGGACAGGCAGGAGCGACCTGCATTTCGGGCAAATTAGGTCAATTTTTTCGCCAGGATGCGAATAACATCCAGGTACCTATTTTACTATTAGGTGAACATGAACATCAGGTTTCTTAAGGAACCACGTCCTAATGTTTCCACCCGTAGCGAGGATCGAACCACGGACCTCAGTGTGTTAGCAATCAAGTTACGGGACAGCTTCGAGCTACATTTTGTCTTTGACTTTTTCTGGGTTATCCGAGGTAATTTACACATACGTTACTATGTATAATAATTATTCTTGTGTACCTGCACCTAAATAAACTTACTTATCAATTTGATATGTTACATACTGTATGGCTTGTAAGGAAATTAGCTTTTTTCCTTTATTTTTTTTAAAGCAGCCCTAATGCAAATGATTATTAGAAATGACAATTTAGAACGGCTTAATTATTACCGTACATGGTAATTTTGTACGATATGGTTAAAAACAATAATTTAATGAACACTGTACGATAATTCTGGTAGAAAATCTGGTATAAGTGGCAACTCTGGTTAGTTTTAGTTGTGCTGCTGTTTGTCTGAAATTGTAATATGAAATGACTGTGTATAATACGTATTTGTCATGCAACAACAACTTAAGAAGGTAGTCACAATGCCTTCACACTTGACAATGCAATAGTCAGTTGCATGTGCAGCAAAGACGTTCCAACTGTAGCCAGGAAAACTAATAAGACTTTATATTTTGAGTTTTGTCTGAATTATCCGTAAGTTGATGCATCTTATGTTCTGCCTAACCTAATTTCTTTAATTAAATTTAGCTAGATGAATGCTAGTGATCTCATTGATGTTCCAAAGTTGGGTCAGAAGTCTGATTTTGTAGTGTATAAATTCAGTAAAACTCAGTATTTTAAGTTCAGCTTTGGTACCGGTATTGGTTTAGCGCTTCTTATTATAATACTAATTTGGTACCGGTAGTATAAAATAACACAGTATGTCAAACACGCATATACAACGACAGGCGGGCCCAGGAGGTATGACTCAACCTCCAGCATCCGCAATTAGGTGAGGACACTGGCAGAGTGGAAACCTTTATTGAGACAATTTTTTCAAGTCTAGTGAGTATGTCAAGGGAGGTTCCATGATGTTGCTGAAGGGTTCTTGATCCAAGATATTGGACCTGATCTTCCCTTCCTTGGCTCAAATCCGATTGCTTCCCATTTTCTCAGGTGCTGTATGACCCTTGTAGGTTTTGTGGCTAAAATGATAGTACCTTTGTCTCATATCTGAAAAACCAGAGTTGAATCCAACACAAGTGGATTATTATTGTTTATTATCATGGGAGCACTAAACCTGTAGGGATTATACAGCACCTGTGAGGGGGGGGGGGGTTAAAGGCATTCAGGCTTAATTCAGGGAAGTGGAGCACAAATCCAGTTCCGTAGATCAAGAGCCCCTCACAAGCATCAAGGAACCTACTTTGAGGGGCCATCACAAGTGCAGATGTTGGTCATGTTTCCTTATCCTGTACTTGAAGCCCTTGTTTACCTAGCAGTAGGAAGGTAAGTACGCGAGTGTTAGACGACTGTTGTGGGTTGAATCCTGGGACAGAATATCAAAGGACCCAAGTGGAAATACTAAGCTAGACAGACAAGCTTGAATGGGTTATCATGGGTTACTATCCCTCAGACAAGTGCACAATTTAGGTGTCGGTCGGGAGTGGGGGGGGCACTTTAATGCTGGTTAATGGCTCTTGATCCAATGAAATGGAGCTTCCCTACATATTTTATCAAATAATTACCTTCCTATTTCCAAGATGCTATATTACTCCTGTGGGTTAAGCACTTTCCCATGAATTTAATACAGTCCAGTTATAATAAAAACTGTTAAGCAACTTTTAAAACTTATGCCGGTACAGTATTTACAGTTACGTATTAATTAAGTTTTACAGAGTGAATATTGTCCTATGCTGAGCATACAGTTCACAAATTATATTTTGTCAATCTGTGAGATATGTAAAGCTGGTGGAGAGGCGTCTTGCTCCTCTCTGTGAGAATTGCCAAGCTCCATTATCAGTCAGCCACATTCTGTTGGACTGCCCACTTTATCAACGAGCACGCAGAATTTACCTCTGTCGTCGTCTTCGCTCCGCTGCTCTCTCTTTACCTTCCCTTCTCGCTGATGGACCCACCTTTCATCCGGACTCTCTCATTGACTTTTTGACAACAACTGACTTACTTCACAAATTCTGATACCTTCAGCCCTTTCTACTTCAATCTCTTGCTACCCTCTACCCCCGTACTATCCCCTGCCCCGCTGTTTTCTGTAACCTGTTGATCATCCCCCCTCCCTTCTGCCATCCAATTCCCTTGCTTCCTTCCCTACCCTGCAGCGCTGTATATCCCTTGTGGCTTAGTGCTTCTTTTTGATTATGATAATAATGTAAAGCTGATCTAAGGCTATGACTTAATAATACATGTGGTTCTTGAAACATGTCAGAGGTTTAACTTGATTATTGACAATGAAGTTTCCAAGATGGTTGAGTTTTAGTGATTTCTCTGAATAATAATAATAATAATAATGCTGCCCCCACCCACCACTTCTCAACCTTGGAGTAGGTGCTCTTCACACCTACTCCAAGATTAAGGGACTGATTACCTCATCTTCTGTACATATTTCTACTGTCTTCAAGTTATGTCCTGGAATTTGTACTGATAAAGCCACTGGATGGCGAAACGTCTACAATAAAGATACCCAGATGTTGCACATGTGTCTTAATTTCATCAATAATAATAATAATAATAATAATAATATAATATAATAATAATAATAATAATGATAACAGTAATAATAATTAATAGTGATGTATTTCCATTGGTCCTTTTGTTTTTTATTTTATCTAGGCTTCTCTTCTTTAAATCTATTTTTTCTCCCATTCTCTATATTTGTTTTAGACTGCCCTCTCTATCAACGAGCACGCAGAATTTACCTCCAACGTCGTCTTCGTTCTACTACTCTCTCTTTACCTTCCCTTCTTGCTGATGGACCCTCCTTTAATCCTGACTCTCTCATTGACTTCTTGACAACGACCGATTTACTCCACAAACTCTGATGATACTTTTCGCACTCCCCTCAGCCCTTTCTGGCTCAGTCTCTTGCTGCCCTTTACCCTTTCACCATCCACTGCCCCGCTGTTATCCGTAACCTGTTGCTCATCCATCTCCCTTTTGCCACCTGATGCCCTCACTTCCTTCCTGCCCTGCAGCGCTGTATAGTCCTTGTGGCTTAGCGCTTCTTTTTGATTATAATAATAATAATAATAATCTATATTTGTTAGGGGTGGGGATATTGCAGTTTGGAGGGGCATCTAAACTGTAGTATTGGCACACGTCTGGCAAAACAATGATGGAGCGAGTGATAGTGAAGTGTTACTACTGTTATGGGTAACCTTACTTTGGTGGTAGACAACCAGTGTTAAAAAAAAAAATTAATTTTATTTCGAGTATTCCAGAACTTTGCAATAAAATTGTGTGCTGCTTTCAGCAGTGATGACAATGCAGGGAGAAGCCTTTTCTGTGATGCTGAAGTCTGTTAGGAGTTTCCGACTGCTCAACACTTCTTGCTCATCAGAAGTAACAAAATTATATAAGGTAAGCTTTTGGTTTTGCTGTGTTTTTTTAGGCAGTAAGTTACTAAAACTGAACTACTTTTAAAATACGGTATATAGTTCGTCACAAACAAATTATTATTTTTTTTTTAACACGTCAGCCATTTCCCACCGAGGCAGGGTGATCCAAAAAGAAAGAAAAACCCAAAAAGAAAGAAAAAACTTTCATCATCATTCAACACTTTCACCATCACTCATACATAATCACTGTCTTTGCAGAGGTGCTCAGATACGACAGCTTAGATGTCCCTCCAAACTGCCAGTATCCCAAACCTTATACATTGATAAATATATTTTTATACATTAGCAGAAGTATACAATTTTTTACTTTCGCATGGTAACTAATTAGTTATTTCAGCCAAATTTTGTTAAAATTTACATAATATAATTTCATATAAATAAATTTAGATAGAATTGCTTACATCAACAAAATACGTACATTAATTTTGCAATGCTCAGACATATTTTGTGGAGTTATTGCCACACTGTATTTTAACATGAGTTGTAGTAAACTAATTATTGTTTCATAAGTTAAGATTGCAAGCACTGCCTATAAAAAACAATGGGTACATTTCTTCTTTATTTAAAGTGTCACTGTATATAAGTTTTGCTATCTGTACAGTGCTGTATATGTGAAATTACTGTACCTATTTCTTATCGTGAAAAATATGCCAAGTTTAATAAATGTAATAAAATAATTCATACTTTTTAATTTTTGTGGCATTTACAGTACTGCACTATTGTATGATGTTTTGTTTAACAAATCTTTCTGGTAGATCCTGTACTGGGTGCTACTTTAGCATATGGTCTACCAGCTCATTTACACTTTCAGCGTGCGGTCTACCAGCACTTTTGCACTTAACCTAACCTAACCAGGTTAGGTTAGGTTAGGTAGACTGTATGTTAAGTCAGTTCTCATTGTAGACTATGAATACTGCGGTAGACCGCATGCTGAAGTAGCACCTTGTACTGTGCTACAGTATCCTAGGACTTCTTTCTTATGCTCTTTCCTAACTTAATACATTAAGACAGTGCTCAGGCATACTAGTGACTTTCTTTGTGCTTAAAAATATTTCATAACATGTAAATCTTACATTGAATACTATGCAAAGAAATTAAATTTGTATTCGTATTTGTAACTTCTGTACTAGTGAAAAGGGTTCATCAACTGCCTGATTGGTCAGAGCCTGCACACTGAAGCTTTCACTGTTACACTTTGTAGATAACAGTGCTAATGGAAAATTCAGAGATGCTTGCTCAAATTGGTAAAGGAATATGGAAATAGAGTATATATGTATGTATGTATGTATGTATGTATAAAAGATGAAGCTGAAAATTAATGCATAAAGGAGGAAGGTGTTCAGACTGAATAGATGTAGTACAGTATATGGAATGAAAGATTTTTACATTTGAAGCAAGGAGTATGGAGGAAGTAAATGTTTTTAAATACTTGGGAATAGATACATCAGCTGATGAGTCTATGAAGGGTAAGCAAAAGAAAGTTGCAAGAGTGGTGAGGAAACTGTGGAAAGAAAAAAAAGTTTCATTGGGTAAAAACTTATACAGTGGACCCCCGGTTCGCGAAGTTATCGGTATCCGATAAATCTGGTATCCGAAGCATTATATCGCAAAAAATTTGCCTCGGTTCCCGTTACAAAACCCGGTATGCGATACGATTCGTACGAGACGTGTCCACGTGTGGCCTGAACTGCCCCATGTGTGCCAGTGTTTACAAGCCAGCCAGTGTGCGCGCATCTAAGGATACATTCGGTACATTCCATATTTTCCATATTATCACTGTTTTTGGTGCTTGTTTCTGCAAAATAAGTCACCATGGGCCCCAAGAAGCTTTTAGTGCCAACCCATTGAGACCAAGGGTGCTAATGACTATTGAAATGAAGAAAGAGATAATTGCAAAGTATGAAAGTGGAGTGCGTGTGTCGGACCTGGCCAAGTTGTATAGTAAATCCCAATCAACCATCTCTACTATAGTGAGCAGGAAAACAGCAATCAAGGAAGCTGTTCTTGCAAAAGGTGCAACTGTGATTACAAAACAGCAATCGCAAGTGTTAGAAAATGTTGAGAGACTGTTATTGGTGTGGATAAATGAAAAACAGATAGCAGGAGATAGCATCTCTCAAGCGATCATTTGTGAAAAGGCTAGGCAGTTGCATGAGGATTTAATTAGAAAAATGCCTGCAACTAGTGGTGATGTGAGTGAATTTAACGCCAGCAAAGGTTGGTTTGAAAGATTTAATAATCGTAGTGGCATACATAGTGTGATTAGGCATGGTGAGGCTGCCAGTTCAGACCAAAAAGCAGCTGAAAAATATGTGCATGAATTCAAGGAGTACATAGAGGCTGAAGGATTGAAACCTGAACAAGTGTTTAATTGTGACGAAATAGGCCTGTTTTGGAAGAAATTGCCAAGCAGGACTTGCATTACTCAGGAGGAAAAGGCACTCCCAGGACATAAGCCTATGAAAGACAGGCTTACTTTTCTGATGTGTGCCAATGCTAGTGGTGATTGCAAAGTGAAGCCTTTATTGGTGTATCACTCAGAAACTCCCAGAGCGTTCAGGCAAAAGAATATCCTCAAGGCTAATTTGTGTGTGCTGTGGAGGGCAAACACTAAAGCATGGGTCACTAGGGACTGTTTCTATGACTGGTTACACCATGCATTTGCCCCCAATGTGAAAAATTACCTAATTGAAAAGAAATTAGACCTTAAGTGCCTCCTAGTGTTAGACAGTGCCCTTGGTCATCCTACAGACTTGGCAGAGCGACTTTGTGGGGACATGAGCTTCATTAAGGTCAAGTTTTTGCTTCCTAATACCACTCCTCTCCTGCAGCCCATGGACCAGCAGGTCATTTCCAACTTCAAGAAACTGTACACAGAAGCTATGTTTGAAAGGTGCTTTGAAGTGACCACAGATACTCTATTGACTTTAAAGGAGTTTTGGAAGGATCACTTTAATATCCTCAATTGTGTAAACCTTATAGGTAAGGCTTGGGAGGGAGTGACTAAGAGGACCTTGAGCTCTGCTTGGAAGAAACTGTGGCCAGAATGTGTAGACAAAAGGGATTTTGAAGGGTTTGAGGCTAACCCTGGGAATCCTATGCCAGTTGAGGAATCCATTGTGGCATTGGGAAAGTCCTTGGGGTTGGAGGTTAGTGGGGAGGATATGGAAGAGTTGGTGGAGGAGGACAATGATGAACTAACCACTGATGAGCTGCTAGATCATCTTCAACAGCAAGAGGCCAGACCTGAGGAAACTGCTTCGGAGGAGGGGATAGAGAAATTGACGAAGTTGCCTACTTCAAAGATTAAGGAAATGTGTGCAAAGTGGCTTGAAGTGCAAACCTTTTTTGATGAAAATCACCCTGACACAGCTACTGCAAGCCGTGTTGGCAACCTGTACACTGACAATGTTGTGAACCACTTTAGGAAAGTCGTAAAGGAACGAGAGGTACAGGCCTCTATGGACAGATATGTTGTGCAACAGAAGTCCAGTGACTCTCAAGCTGGTCCTAGTGGCATTAAAAGAAGAAGGGAAGTAACCCCGGAAAAGGACTTGCTACCTCAAGATCTAATGGAGGGGGATTCCCCTTCTAAATATTAAAAACTTCGACACTCTCCCCTTCTCCCATCCCATCAATCATCACCAGATCTTCCTTAAAGGTAAGTGTCAATTATTCTATTGTGATTATTCTATTGTTATTATTGTTATTGTAATTATTCTATTGCATTAAACTTAATATTTCATGTGGTAAAAGTTTTTTTTTTTCATACTTTTGGGTGTCTTGCACGGATTAATTTGATTTCCATTATTTCTTATGGGGAAAATTGATTCGCTTTCCGATAATTTTGCTTTACGATGAGTTCTCAGGAACGGATTAATAACGTGAACCGGGGGTCCACTGTATGTGTATGTGTATTCCAGTCCAGCTTACTTCAAAAGGGTTATTTGCTTCTAATGGTTGCTCATACATCATATTAACTGTTCCATTCTTTAATTCATTCACTTTCATTTAATAATGATCTGATATACAAGTCATTTTTAAAAAATGTACAAAAATACAATAATGTATATTTATGTGCATGAACATTCTACCTTATGCAGTTGCTTCCTCCATGTCACATGAACATTACATAAGCTAGAAATAAATTCATACATATGGAAGAAACCTGAAGAGTGGCAGTTTGGAGAGGAAATTTTTGTATTACAACCTTTCAGAAGATCTGGAAATAACCAGGACCACGGCAAAGCATTTACTGTATTGCCAAAAAAAAGAGGAGGTTGACCACACAGAATTAAATTGTGAGATTCACCAAAATCCACACTTAGGGAAGGAATGTGTGGGTTTTTTGGTGGATTGTTCCAGCCACGGTATTGTTACTTTTTATTTTTTCTAAGGTAAGAGAGAGATCAGATGAATAGGCCTTATATAATTTGCAGTGTTGAAGAGAGAGGAGGCTGCAGCATTCAGAGCATAAACATTGAATTAAACTCTATTAAAAATTATTTTGAGATATTGTAGTAGCAATCAGTGACTGCATGATAAAAGAACTTGAAAAGGTGAATCATTTCATATTAATAAGTGAAAGAGGAAATGCCAAATCAGGTGCTTGAGGGAGTATGGAAAATTATTAATAATGATTACATGATACAGTGTGATTAATTGAATGTATTGTTTAAATGTATAGCTCATATATAAATAAGTGTAATTGTAAAATTTCAGACCTCTACAAGCAACAAGTGTAACTTTGGACTGTTAGCCGTACACAAAAAGCACTCTACTCCCTTAATAATCTGTGGCTCCTATTCAACATTGAGAATTGTTCCACTGTGGTCTCAAACATCTCAAAGGACCCTCTGGGGGTGGCTTAATGCTGTTTTCAACAAGTAAGTGATATCCTAAATTTCAATCATGTATACAGTAGTATACTGTACATGATTTTTCATTGTTTGGATTGTGAAAATAACCTCAGATTAATTTAGGAAACTTATTCTTACTTTTTCTTCCCTCTATAAACTTATTTTATTATGGTTGAGTCTTTTATTCACATTTTGGATACAAATTTACATGGAAGCACTACCTAACTGAAAAGTAAATATATTATGTAGCATCTAAAATGCCCTCTTGGTCAGAGCTCTATACCTTAATTTGCAAAAGATATATTACAGTGAAACATATAAGTGAACAGTATTTAGATAAGGCTAAAGAGGTCTTTGTGGCATTTATGGATTTGGAAAAGGCGTATGACAGGGTGGATAGGGGGGCAATGTGGCAGATGTTGCAGGTGTACGGTGTAGGAGGTAGGTTACTGAAAGCACTGAAGAGTTTTTACGAGGATAGTGAGGCTCAAGTTAGAGTATGTAGGAAAGAGGGAAATTATTTCCCAGTAAAAGTAGGCCTTAGACAAGGATGTGTGATGTCACCGTGGTTGTTTAATATATTTATAGATGGGGTTGTAAGAGAAGTAAATGCGAGGGTCTTGGCAAGAGGCGTGGAGTTAAAAGATAAAGAATCACACAAAGTGGGAGTTGTCACAGTTGCTCTTTGCTGATGACACTGTGCTCTTGGGAGATTCTGAAGAGAAGTTGCAGAGATTGGTGGATGAATTTGGTAGGGTGTGCAAAAGAAGAAAATTGAAAGTGAATACAGGAAAGAGTAAGGTTATGAGGATAACAAAAAGATTAGGTGATGAAAGATTGGATATCAGATTGGAGGGAGAGAGTATGGAGGAGGTGAATGTATTCAGATATTTGGGAGTGGACGTGTCAGCGGATGGGTCTATGAAAGATGAGGTGAATCATAGAATTGATGAGGGGAAAAGGGTGAGTGGTGCACTTAGGAGTCTGTGGAGACAAAGAACTTTGTCCTTGGAGGCAAAGAGGGGAATGTATGAGAGTATAGTTTTACCAACGCTCTTATATGGGTGTGAAGCATGGGTGATGAATGTTGCAGCGAGGAGAAGGCTGGAGGCAGTGGAGATGTCATGTCTGAGAGCAATGTGTGGTGTGAATATAATGCAGAGAATTCGTAGTTTGGAAGTTAGGAGGAGGTGCGGGATTACCAAAACTGTTGTCCAGAGGGCTGAGGAAGGGTTGTTGAGGTGGTTCGGACATGTGGAGAGAATGGAGCGAAAAAGAATAACTTCAAGAGTGTATCAGTCTGTAGTGGAAGGAAGGCGGGGTAGGGGTCGGCCTAGGAAAGGTTGGAGGGAGGGGGTAAAGGAGGTTTTGTGTGCGAGGGGCTTGGACTTCCAGCAGGCATGCGTGAGCGTGTTTGATAGGAGTGAATGGAGACAAATGGTTTTTAATACTTGACGTGCTGTTGGAGTGTGAGCAAAGTAACATTTATGAAGGGGTTCAGGGAAACCGGCAGGCCGGACTTGAGTCCTGGAGATGGGAAGTACAGTGCCTGCACTCTGAAGGAGGGGTGTTAATGTTGCAGTTTAAAAACTGTAGTGTAAAGCACCCTTCTGGCAAGACAGTGATGGAGTGAATGATGGTGAAAGTTTTTCATTTTCGGGCCACCCTGCCTTGGTGGGAATCAGCCAGTGTGATAATAAAAAAAATAATAAAAAAAATTTTACTCTCAGTAGAGCTTTACTGAGTCAGTGCAAGTAGAGTAAAATGTATGTGATTAGTTTGCTCTGCACATAGACTGGTGTCTTTTTACCATGTTTGTGGGAAAGTTTTGGCATCCAACAGACTTAGCAGCTTGACCACCCTAATCTGCCGACATCCTTATGCAAACAAGAAAAAAAGTATCATGTTATTTAAACATACACAGCACCAAGACAAGAAAAGGACCACTGCAAAGATAAATGTCTACCAGTCATCAGAGCAAAAGCAGTGGGTGGCAGCTAGCAGCAACAAACATGGTTGTTGCTGCCACCATGGTAAACACAACCTCAGCTGCCACTACACTAAACACCACTACACAACCAGTGAACCAAGCATTTAGTGACATTTTGAAAAATTCATATACTCAGTCAGACTTTGTCCTTTGTGATAAGCAAGATCTACAAATGCCAAAGGATTCAGTGGTCCAGCAGGCAACTAGAATATAAGATACTGAAAATTTCAAAATCCCGGGAAGAATTACTAACCACGCAGATATTAAAATTGACTGAACTTCAAGAGATTGTAATGGCCCAGTCAGTCATGTTAATTCACATACAGGAAAAGCTAGAAAAGCAAGAGGAAAATGGACTCGCTCATTAGGTTAATAAAAACCATGTAAATCAGGAATTAATATTCAGGTTAGAGGATAAATTAACAACACAGATTGCATCTCTTCATAACCAACAGTGATTTCCTTGATGAAGCTGTGATAGTGAAATGGGCCAATCTTTCCCTGACACAAGGTGAGAATTGTGATGAAGTGGCAGTTAGCATTATAAAATTGAAATCCATTGTAATATTAAGAAGCAAGACATTAAAAGTGCACATAGGTTTGACAAGTATATGCCAGGTGGAGCATGATCATTATCACTTAAGTTTAGTTAGTGAAAATTGAAATTGACCTTATAAATCTGCATTATCTCAGAGGAAAGACATCTCTATCAACGAATATCGTACAAAAAATGCCAGGAACTTCCATACACACTAATAGATAAAAAAAAAAAAAACAGAACTAGCCATCAGTGCTTTGTCGGGGATTGAAAAATACTGAGAAGAAAATATCATACTTTTTTAAACACATTGGATGTCTCCCACTGAGGTAGGGTAACGTGAAAAAGAAGAAACACTTTTACCACTTACGCCATCACTGTCTTGCCAACAGGGGGGCACACCAGCAAGTGCTGGATGAGGTACATATAACCAAGGAGGAGGTGAAGAAGTTGCTATGCGAACTTGACACCTCAAAGGCGGTGGGACCAGACAACATCTCTCCATGGGTCCTTGAAGAGGGAGCAGAGATATTGTGTGAGCCATTAACAAAGATCTTCAACACATCATTTGAAACTGGGCAACTCCCTGAGGTATGGAAAATGGCAAATGTAGTCCCAATTTTTAAAAAGGGAGACAGACATGAGGCACTAAACTACAGACCTGTATCACTAACGTGTATAGTATGCAAGGTCATGGAGAAGATCATCAGGAGGAGAGTGGTGGGGCACCTGGAAAGAAACAAGCGTATAATTGACAACCAGCACGGTTTCGGGAGGGAAAATCCTGTGTCACAAACCTACTAGAGTTTTATGACAAGGTGACAGAAGTAAGACAAGAGAGAGAGGGGTGGATCGACTGCATATTTTTGGACTGCAAGAAGGCCTTCGACACAGTTCCTCACAAGAGGTTACTGCAAAAGCTAGAGGATCAGGCACACATAACAGGAAAGGCACTGCAATGGGTCAGAGAATACGTGACAGGGAGGCAACAACGAGTCATGGTGCGCGACGAGGTGTCAGAGTGGGCGCCTGTGACAAGCGGGGTTCCACAGGGGTCAGTCCTAGGACCTGTGCTGTTCTTGGTATATGTGAACGACATAACGGAAGGGATAGACTCAGAAGTGTCCTTGTTTGCAGATGATGCGAAGTTAATGAGAAGAATCAAATCGGATGAGGATCAGGCAGGACTACAAAGAGACCTGGACAGGCTACAAGCCTGGTCCAGCAACTGGCTCCTTGAATTTAACCCTGCCAAATGCAAAGTCATGAAGATTGGGGAAGGGCAAAGAAGACCGCAGACACAATATAGTTTAGATGGCCAAAGACTGCAAACCTCACTCAAGGAAAAAGTTCTGGGGGTGAGTATAACACCGAGCATATCTCCTGAGGCGCACATCAATCAGATAACTGCTGCAGCATACGGGCGCCTGGCAAACCTACGGATAGCGTTCCGATACCTCAGTAAGGATTCGTTCAAGACTCTGTATACCATTTACGTCAGGCCCATACTGGAGTATGCAGCACCAGTTTGGAATCCACACCTAGTCAAGCACGTCAAGAAACTAGAGAAAGTCCAAAGGTTTGCAACAAGACTAGTCCCAGAGCTACGGGGATTGTCCTACGAAGAAAGGTTGGGGGAAATCGGCCTGACGACACTGGAGGACAGGAGGGTCAGGGGAGACATGATAACGACATATAAAATACTGCGCGGAATAGACAAGGTGGACAAAGACGGGATGTTCCAGAGAAGGGACACAGACACAAGAGGTCACAATTGGAAGTTGAAGACTCAGATGAATCAAAGGGATGTTAGGAAGTATTTCTTCAGTTATAGAGTAGTCAGGCCGTGGAATAGCCTAGAAAGTGATGTAGTGGAGGCGGGAACCATACATAGTTTTAAGGCGAGGTATGATAAAGCTCATGGAGCAGGGAGAGAGAGGACCTAGTAGCAATCAGTGAAGAGGCGGGGCCAGGAGCTATGACTCTACCCCTGCAACCACAAATAGGTGAGTACACACACACACACACACATACACACACACACACCTACACACACACACCTACACACACACACACCCACACACACACACACCCACACACACACACACCCACACACACACACACCCACACACACACCCACACACACACACACACCCAACCCACACACACACACACCCACACACACACACACACACCTACACACACACACCTACACACAAACACCTACACACACACACCTACACAACACACACCTACACACACACACCACCCACACACACACACACCTACACACACACACACCTACACACACACACACCTACACACACACACACCTACACACAACACACCTACACACACACACACACCTACACACCACACACACCTACACACACACACACCTACACACACACACACACCTACACACACACCACACACCTACACACACACACCACCTACACAACACACACAACACCACACACACACACACACACACCACAC